ATATAGTTCTTAATTGGTTGGCAACAAATTTCATTAAATATTTCTAATAGTATGATTCACTCATTTCCTTCACATTTCCACATGTAGGCCTAAATAAAACATTGACAACCAACTCTATTTTACTTATCTCGTATATCAGAAATCCAAAAGGAAACAACCACTAATTAATTTCATCAAATAACCAAAGACAGGAGCACAATATGGATGTCCTGAAATGAGGTAAATTTAAATGTAGATGCATCACAGCAGAAGCTAAGTTACAGAATACAGTCCTGAAAAAGTTAAAGGCATTTATTGCACAAGGCAGGTATAATTAAAGGAAGTATGGCCTTATTTTATTGAACGTGTCAACATTTTGAAAATAGGTGTGAAAATAAATGGTTCTTTACATCTTGCAATACACTTAAAATGGCCCCAAAGGTTGATATAAACATGACAGCAATGCAATAATAACAAGTAACAGAGGGGAAGGTAATATAAAATGCTTCTGGTTTACACTTCTGAACTTTAAAAAACATCAACCAACAGAACAGATTCAAAGCACTTATGAAATGTCATATAAAAATATCTCACATTCACAGACTTCCATACACTGTATCACAATCCAAGCACTGCAAGGTTGTGGTAGATGCAAACTACCTTGATCAATGAATTACCCCACAAAATGCAACACTCTTGCTGGAAAAAAAACTTTGAAAGCTTTAATAATCCAAAAGTTTATACTGAGCACAATTTCCCCACCGAGGCAGGCATCACTTGTGGTGCCACTGTTCCCAGAATGCAATATTGTTCTGCAGCCTATGCCTTCCTCTCCTGGATGGGGTTGGGGAATGAGTCCCGCTCTCATCTGACATGTAGCCAGGAGTACTATCATCACCCATCATGACCAGATCACCTTCACTTATTTCCCTTATGCTGTTACACTTTGGTTCATTGAGCAATTTGTCTAGTCCCCCGATATTTATATTCCTTGCACTCTCTACCACCTTGCTCAGATTGGCTGGAGAAATCTTCATGTCCCCAGTTCTATTGATGACGCATGGCTTGGGAGAACTGCAGGACGAGTCTTCCGTGCCATTTGAAGTAGTGGCATCAACTGGTACGTGCAAGATGCTGTCTAGTTGGGTGGGCAGGTTCCGTCGCAGGCCCTCACGGAACTCTCGTGACATACTACGAGCTGTCAGGCTGTGCACCTGCAGTGAAATAAGCAACCATATTCAGCTACATGGGTTATAAATCACTAAATTATTGAATGATGGAATGATTATTGATGATGAATTTGAAATTATATCTATGGAAATGGTATTGGCCTGCTTTAAGATACTACACTAACATGTGCATGCAAGGTTCAAGGAAAGTGTAAAAAACTTTTGTTAGACACTGAAGGGTGAGTGGTCTTACAAAATCAAAATATGGACAGAAGTGGTGAAGCAGGACAAGGCACCTGATCAGACGGTAGGAGGCTGATCTTCAGGCAGTAGGTTACAGGAGATGGATTGAAGTGGCTCTAGATCACATCCAATCATGTACTTTGGTATCAGGGGTGCTAAACTTTCAAATTCTACTATAAGAATTATCTTCATATTCAGGAATTACTGGTTCAAATATTGGAATAATAAAAAGCTATAACGATTATGATTTTTCATGCTTTTCATGAGTTTATCCAGGCAAATGCTGGAATACTCAGTGCCTAGAAAACTGCATGGTTGCTTCTTCCTACATCTATAACTTTTCATCATTCACTAGCATTAAGGACTTTTATTTAAAACAGTAAAACTTGTGAAGTTTATACTGTGTTATCAACAATCCACTTACCTATCTGTAAAGTGTTTACTTTGTGCAGCTTAATCTGATTAATAATGTAAATATTTATGGTTGCATTTCTTCAAATACTAGGTGTGTCATGAGGTTGGGTTCTCATGCCACAGACCTGCATATCCAGATTATTTTCTGCTTTTGTGCATCATGATTAACCAGTTTTAAGTTTCATGCCATAGCAAAACAGATGTTTACATAATTCATATTTGGCAAACCTGCATGTGACTGTTTCAGAAATCAGTCATGATAAAACTACAGAACCTTCATTTCTGTTCATCATCAATAAATGGCAAAGTTGTCGCCAAATGTCACTTTCATTTCTACTGACTATCGCTCTACAGATGCAACTGGTGTAGCAATGTGCGTGCAGAGCTATGGAAATGCCCCTCACTTTTCTGAGAACAATTCAGCTGTTCCTAACCTCTCGCACAGGCTGTGGCTGCTTCTCTCTTGCCACTATGACCACTTCCTTAGGCACTTCCACCATCTTGCTTTGGCGAGGTTTTGGTAATACCTGGAAAGTACAAATAATCTAATTTCAGTGTCCTGTCCCAAGGCATAGCTTGCTCATCTTCCTATTAAAAGCTCTTTATACAACAGAGAAAAGGCAAACTCCAATTTCAGACAAATAACTAAGAACGAGTGACTTCACAGAGCAGACTTTCTTGACAAGGTAATAGTGTGCTCAGTTAGTCAATACATTTTCTGCATTTTACAAAACCACAAAGTTCATTATCATGTTCACAAGAGCCTGCCACCAGCCCCTATTGTGAGCCAAATAAATCCAATCCATACCCACAAACCCATTTTCCTAATATACATTTTCATATTTTCCTCTCATCAACACCTCAGGCTTCCAACCAAAATGTTGTATGCATTTCTCATCTCCCCATGCATGTCACATGCCCTGCCCAACGCAATACTCTCATTAGCACCCTGTTCTCAACAGCCTCAATCTGTCTTCTTCCCTAAATGACCAGTTTTCACACCCATACAAAACAACAGCTAAGATAATAGCTTTGTATATTTTATTTTCTACATTTTTAGATAGCACACACTGGTTCCCTAAAACAAAACTCGAGAACTTAAGTGTTAATGAAATCTCACACTTAACTAATAAGCATAGTTCGCATAGTTAGAGCAGTACATACATTAAGAAGTCCAAACTGTGAAGACAGAAATAAGAGAGACAGCATTACTGAACACTAGCATCTCGTGCATCCAAACTGACAACACTACATAGTTGTGGTAGCCACATGAAGACTAAAGGTGGGAGACAGCCTATCACAGCAGGAAGAGGAGCTTCCTCCTATCAGGAGAGTACAATTTTCACTCAAAACATACATTCTTTTACAGGGTTCCACATCTGTTTGTATGTCACCTGACACTCACCCTTGCAACAGAGGAGTCAGAATCTGATGTTTTGCCTGCTGAAAAGTGCTTTGCCAGTTCCTTAACAGATGGCAGCACAACTGGCACATCTGCATCAAAGTCAAGGTCAGATGAAACAGTGCTACCCTCGCTTGGAGCCATGTAATCCGAATTTCTCCACTTGCCCACCTCAATGACCTTGCTCTTTGCAGCCTGAGTCTCCGCTTCCCATTCAGAATTGGCTGGCTGCATCTCTCCACATCCATTTTGAGATACTGTTGATTCCACAGAGCCATTGTGTTGCATCTTCCTCAGCCACTGCTCCTCAGTCTGATTGATCTCTTTTTGCCATTTTGCAATCTCATTCTCTACATAGCCATATATCTGGAAAAGATGCAAACAAAAACTAAATGACTGGTTGAAGTTTAAAGCCTTCTTACGATGGTGCCTAAGTATTTATCATCTTTATCATCTGTGTGGCATGTCCTACACATATTCCAGCTAGCATGCATTGGACTAACAGACCACTAAACCATCAACCCCTCAGTTAAAGTCCATACAGTAGCCAAGTAATATGAGGATTTATATCCTCAATTCCCATAAAATAAAGGATAATTAAAAACACAACATGTAAGAAGTAGACCAGCTTAATTTAAAAATGCTTAGACAATGGATAAGGTCCAAGAGAAGAATACATGCATTACAGGATTGATTCTTTGATTATTTACAGACACTGTTTGAACTCCAGATGTTATGTAGCAACAAGTACAATGGGAAGACGATGGTCAATGGAGAATAGAAAAAGGATTTCAGAGGTAATCATGGCCTGTCTGAGTCAAAATAGCTATTAACAAAACTGAGATTCAAAATGGTTATGATAACATATCAAACACAAATCTAGAGTGCTAGTACTACACCAAACTGCTCCATGAAAAAGTGGACATACAAATAATGTTGATCACAAACCTGATGATTTGTAAACTTCCAACAATAACCTCATTCATAGTTCAGACAAGAAGAATGACAAAATAAGCAAAGTTCTTAGAAGGAACTGTCTCAAGCTCTTGGAAGGAACAAACATTGAATGTGTTTGAAAACAAAGTGCCAAGGAGTGTATCTGGACCTAGGACAGACATTAAATAAACAAACATTTGTACTCCTAACCAAATACTTCTCACACAAGCCAAATACGGGTTGGATCGAACATGTAGCACACATGGACAAAATTACACAACAATTTGGTTGGAAGACCTCAAGTGAACAGAACATCTAACTGTAGAGTGTACTGAATTGGTTCAGAAGAGGGCCCAACAGTGGGATTTGTGAATACAATGAGAAATATTCAGTTTCCATGGAAGCAGGAAACTTCTTTATCAGCAGAGCAACTATTGAATTCTAATGAATGACTACACAACATGGAATTATTTAATAACTTGGGAAGTGACCATGTGGGAAGACTGGGACAGGCTTGGGAAGAGAATATTAACACGGAGCTTGTGGATGATGTATATTGTTTGAACTTCCATTTCTGATCATTATCATGCGCTAGACTGATACATCCACACATACCTCATCAGTGTCATGTGTGTCTGCCCCTGAGATCTGGTCTGCTTCCATTTTGTTGATCATCACGTCCACAGATCTCTGAAACATGCAAAAACTCATGGGGAGGCTCACCTCAGAGTCAGGGCTGCAAAGAGCTAACACAGAGTGCCTTGTGACCAGTTTGTGGTGCTGTCTATTCTGACTGTGATGTAGTGAATAAGTTTTATGAATATCACAGTTCTAATATGTGCAAAGGTGACTGGCAATACACCAAGATGAGGTGAATTTAACTTGTTCAAAGCTGAATCCACAGTGAGCGTTTCTGAACACAAACAGCCAAAGAAAAAGTTCATACTATTAGCAGATATGTTTACAATGACTCATTAGCTAACAACATCACAACATTCCGTGCTGCCACTACTTTTTATGTACTACATAAGAATTAGTATCCATTTGTTGCAAAATAAATCTACTGTTTCATTGTTAACTGCACTGTAGATATAACAATGCATAATCGGATATCAAGTTTACTTATATTTCATTAAATATACAGCATATTGAAAAATTTTTATAACAAATTTGTTGATCTTAACTGCCCAGCACCATCTAATGCAGTAATTCTCAATTAAAATGACCTCTGAAATATTGTAAAAACTTCTACCAGACTACATGGCCGTACAACCCAGAAGACAACCGCCTTCATATTCGCTGCCATGAGAACCTCAAATTCTACTTAAAATAATCAGCATGTTTGTTGTTGTTCTTACTCACTCACTAATTTTTATATCCTTGGAATCACTGTTTCCAGCAGTATTAATAATGAAAAGGCATTCAGTAATAAAAAGCTCTCTAGACCAGCAAAAATTTGTAGTGGGCCAGTGGTTAAGAAACACTATCTAATGTACTCAGTATATAACACCAATAAATTTGGGAATTTTTTGAATGACTGATAATTAAGACATTCTGTAAGTGTTTAACATGCACTAAAAGACAAAAATCTGAACATTTTTAATGGTTATTGATCATGATATGGATAGTTAAATATCCCATTCATTCACAAAGAAAGTCTTATGTTCCACTGTCTAGCACTTTATTTTTTATGCTTCTATTTCTGCCTTATACAAACTTTTGCAGCTGAATGAAACCAGAGCAGCACATATCAGAACTGTGACTGATCGTTCTCATACTTATGTAAGGCAAACTGCCAGGGTGATGTTGGAGGCAGCTAGCACCTCTGAAATGTCAGTAAACTTCTACCACACTACATGGCACAGCAATCCAGAATACACCCAACTTCATCACAGGACTTGCTTACAAACTCAAAATTTTATTAAGGCTGAAAAATCAGTCATCTTAGCCCAGGCATACATTTTTGAAGATATGAAAATTAAACACCACAGTTTTCACATTACTGAAATTCATTTTAAAACCTCCAGCAATGACTGGCTTATAAGATCTACATCTTATATGGTGAACCACATTTTTGTACCATGAGTCTATAAAAAGCAATGTAATGTTGAGGTTACACTGCACTTCAACAAAATTAAATTGAATTAAATTTGAAAACTGTCTGTACAGAACTCTATTAATGTTTTTGGAGATAAATAAGAAGATATATGAACATGGACAGATGTATATTTTGTGGATTTTCTGCAACAGATGTATAGAAAGAAATGTGAAAGAAAGTGCTGTACAAATATCAACATACTTAACAAGCAAAACTCATATCTTCAGACCACAGTTTTAACAGATGGATCAGAATGGCACAGTCTGACAGCATATCTATAAAAGATTTCATACATGATACTTTCAGATACTTTATAACGTTTAATAACACAAAATTTTATCCAGATGCTTTGTCTGATTTCTTCAATTCTCATATCAACAAATACTTTTTTCCTTACACATTAACCAACAGATGTTTGTAGTGGAAATGTTTTTTGAATACAGGAAGTAAGTAGTTGCATGTTATTTAATGATATTATTTCAACTGCAGAGTTTATTTAGCACTGAATTAGATGGTATGATGAACAAGAATTGTTAGTGGTTAAGGATTTGGAAGGAGATTGTTCTGGCCTATTTCAGCTTAATATTGTGATATTTACTTGCTGGGAGTCAAGAAAGCCATGAAAAAATTAAGTAAGGATAGTTGGTAACCCAGGAAAATTTGTACAGAGCTGACATGAAATATAAATAAACAGTGCCACCACTACACCATTCTGCTTGGATTGGATTGAGTTGGCTTATTACTAGACTACTTGGTGGTATGTGTTCAAAACAGTGTTACATGAAATCTTCACAGATAAGTTGTCATACTGTGTACAATGGTTAGACACCAGAATTGCTGTAAGTGTTAATTTCTACTACTTAAGTTAGAAGTTGAACTAAACTCATTAAAATCAGTTAGACCAAGTTCACAATTTTAATATACTTAGTACCTCTTCAACAGTTAAAGTGACATGCTCAATTATCTACAGTTGTACCACTATACCATTATCAAATCATATTTCCCACATGTTAGATTGTGTCTGTTCTTACTACATCCACATGCTAAAACACTGCAACTAAAATGTCACAAACAAAATGAATACAGTCAGAAGTTTAACATACTCATAAACTCTATCACTTTGAAGTAGTCTTGTTCACTGTGTAGGTGGCAACGAGTCGCAGATCTAACTTGACCAAAAATTTAACTAAAAGTAAGTTAGAAGTCAAAAATGACATAAACCATATAATCATTGTTTTATTTAGAACTGTGCCATGTCTGGGTTCAACATAAAAACATAATTCTTTCTGACAACATTTGGTAAGAATACAAATATCTGATAAGAAGGGACCAACATTTATGTCAACTAGAAAACTAGTTTGTGAATGACTTATAAAATTCATGACGGAGGCAGTATGACATCTGAAACGTTGGTTGACATCGACCAGACTACACAGCGCAACCACCCAGAAGACAGAAATCTTTAAAAAATTCAGTTTTCATAATCTGTCAACTGATCTCCAAAATTAAATCATACAGTATGCTACCTCTCAGTGTACTTGAAATTAAATATTATGATATTTCTGTAAAATTGTGCAACCTGTCCAATTTCTCAAATGAGACCAACAGCATTCACGTATTTTTAAAATATGTCAAAGATTTCCAGTAAGCTGAAAATAATGATAAAACATTCTACAATTCCTGTATCTACAATACATTTATTTGAAGATTAACAATGTGAACTGGATTCAGGTGGCTGCTCACACATACACATGCACACGCACACACAAAACAGCAACACAATGCAAGGCAGTCTGTTAAGTGCCATGCATTATGCAGTGATTTGACATGGGATTTATAATTATAATCTTCTACAGAACTGTACACTTATGTGTCATACAATGTAACAAAGTGCCAGACAATGCTGTAATCCAATCAGAACTGTTTATGCCAAGCCACAACTTAAGTTTATGAACCTTTCTTCATGCAGTCTATAGAAACTTGAAGCTTCCAACTGTATAATGGAAGTAAAGTTAAACTCCCTAACTTTATGGAACTTCATGTCATGTCCATTTTGTTGGTGACAGTGTTACAACTATAAGCCACAACCAGCTTGATGTTTACTTACCAACTGCAGATAACAAAACACTACCATGCTGCAACCCATACAAACAATTCATAATCACTGCAGGACAAGGATGATGTCTCAAGTATGAATATTGACTCCAAGGCAAGCAACAGTGTTTATTGGTAAAATGTCTTTACAAAGTTGAACAGCAGGGACTAATTTGAGAGAAGTTATCTCAATCTGATACTGATATGAAGTCAAACCTCTGAGGCTATGACAATAAAGATACAAAGCAAAAGATGAAGTTCGTACAGGTAAGAAACAAGATAATGGTCTGTGTGTACACCATGCATTTTTCTTGACCCACATCATGTGCTCAGGTCTGGTAATTGTGTGAAACCAGTTTGAGGCTGTATAATCCTTGCTCTTTCCAGTTATAAACAAATAAAGCCAAGAGCATTGATTTGTGATAGCATGCTAGAAGTAGTGCTGAAAACTTTTGTGAAATTCATAATAATTAGGAATCATGTGATGACTCACATGATGTGTTGTGGAACTAATGTGATTATTCTTATTAAAAGTGTACAAATGTGACAAAATCTTTGCTCCCTATGGCCTAGCATATATGACAGCAAACCTTATAAATCAAAGAGTTAATTCACTTTCCTACATTGTGAATATCCAATAGTTTAGTATAATACTACCTTCCAGTGCAGGCCTGCCCAACCTTTTTTATTGTGTGAGCAACTTCGGCAAAATTTGGTCTGTATGCAGGCAACATGAAGTTCAATACATAAAATGTGGAATGTACAGTATAATTATATATATGCTTTCATCTGTGTATTTTTCTATACATTATATACAATAAAAATATACTGATAATAATGTGAAAAATTTGTAAAAAATGCAATTCACACCTAGGCTAGGGTGTGTTTATTTTTATCACATTTTTACAAAATGAATTAGTAATGTAACGTGTCTCCATAAATAAAAAGCTCATAATCTTTTTAAAATATTATTTCACTGATTTTAACTTGGTGTGATCTTTTGCACAATAAGACCGACTATAAGACAATAAATGAAAATACCAGAACAAAGTCACTGCTGATGCCTGCACATCTGCAAGTTGTTAACTAGAAAACATCCCCGCAACAATACATGTCAGCAATCATCGACATTTTAATCCCGGCAAAGAACAACTGCTAACGATAAGGATTTATGAGAGGATCACTTGTGAATATGGAAGAGGTGGTAAGTTTTCTATCATAGTTTGCCAGGAAACAGGTGGAATTGTTTCAGCGTTTCATTGTGCCATTGCCAGGGAAAGGGGAGAAGACTTTATATTATTTCAAATGTCTTCACAGGCAACATGTTGCCTGCAAGCTATAGGTTCTGTTACAATGTATCTTCAGGTTGGTTATGAAAAGAAAACAGCCTTCTAGTTGATGTATATTGTCATTAGGATCAATCTCAGGGATTCGATAGTAGGGTGGTCACCAAGAATGCCAGGCTGAAAGGGAGAGGGTCAACAAATGGTCTTTGGGT